TTATACTGATTTTTGGAAAGTCCGGAATTTCTGTAAAATCAAAGTGGGGTGTCACAATTTCCATTTTCGAAGCACAACACAAGTTTTCGAAATCTAACCCGCGCAGCGATTTTAAAAATAACACAACCTGCAGCATAAAAGTCGAATAAACACGATTTCAGTTGCAAATGAATCCTAAGACATGCCTCTACAATTCTCATGAAGAACCGAAAAAAATAAGGCCAATTACCAGGAGTAAACTCGACAAACATTTTAACCTAAATGTAGTCAGAAAACTAGAACATTATACATTTAGAGCCTCAGAATTTATGGAATAACTTAAGCTACAGACCTCCAAATGACTTGATTCAAAGACCTACGGACAACCAAGAAGCAAGGCAACAATTTTTATGAAGGTCATTGTTCAGTTTGGGCACATAAAAACATCGAAAACAAGCCATACATTAAATATTACAAGCTGTCGGGTTCTGTTAAAACTGCTTGCGCGACAAATTTGTAAAATTCATAACAAATCCGTTACTAATCAGATTATTGAAAGTCCAACGCCCAAAGAAAGCCAACTGGAAACACTACATTTCATTTGAAGATTATAACTTCAAATAACCGGTTTCATAGGGTCATAATGGCAGCACAACAAAGCAGCAAAATCACGATTTATAATTAAATTGCCAAAGAAACATCGCCAATATAATTTCTATGCCATTAGCACTTAAGCATGAAACTAGCTCAATTTTTACAGAGATAGAAACCTTGAAACCAGCATAATATCCACATGGTGCTAGCAGCCTTTAATAAATACAACATAATTTGACGTTAAATTGAGGCTCAATATCTCATACCAACAAGTTCCCAAACACAACAAGGTACAACTTATAATTTCAAGCATAAATCTTATGAGTTTATCTCCCAAAAAACTGAATCTAACACGTATAAGGTTTTACAAAAACTCAGCCATTAATACCTTCTTTAGGACTAAGGACACAGCCGAAAAGAAGGCTTAAGCTCTCGGTGACGGCTCGGCTCGCCGCTTCTCCCAGCCCGAGTGTCACTTGATCTTTCCGTAGCCTGTCGGAAGCCCGGTGGCCCTCGATTGCTTCTCCATTTGACCGGTGATGCTTGTCCTAACGTTTGGTGGCTCGGTCGGAGTTCGTTGGATGGCCCGAGTTCAGAGTTCGGATATTGCGACTGAAGAATAAGGTTCCTTGTCGGACTGTCGATCACCCCAATCTTCTGTCGTCGTGCACTCTATGGCAGCCGTTAGGAATTGTGCTCGTCGCCCGTGGTGCTGGTCACGAAGGAGCAGAGGTGGGGGTGATGATGTGATCTGTTATGCAGAGGAAAAGAGAGGGCGTGTTCTCTATTCTCTGCGAAGACGTGGGGTGAGGGAGATGAGGGTGATGACGAGGGATCGAGAGAGAAGAGATTTCTTCTCTTCTTCTTGCGAATTTCGATCGAGACAGGGTAAGAGATTTGAGGCTGCGGGCGTGATGAATTTCTGACGAGGGAGGCGATAAAAATCTCTCTTTAATAATATTAGGTTTAGCTTAATTAACATGAAAGAAAAATTAGGGCCTTAATCATTTGGCCAAAATTGCAAGCTATTTGGGTCGGGAATCATATATCAAAGCTGCGGGTTTGAAAATA